TTTTTTCCATTAAACTTTCCAAAGATATGAAAATCAGTGACAACTTTTCCATTTTTCCTTGGATTTTCTTTGTTCTCAAATCTGGAATGTTTACTTTTTGAAAGTGATATCATGGATATAGGAGATCTATTCAATATATCTTCTCTTGATATTCATGGTGATAGATTTTTTCTACATATTCATGATGATTTGAAAAAATAATAAGTATATCCTGCATATGAGCATGGATGGCAAGACATATGCCATGCCCATTGTTATAAAAGTTTTATCTATTGTCTTTATACATAGATGGTTCTATAAGTGCTTAGTCACCAAGGAGTCAGCTATTAGTCTTACCTATCTCATTTGTTTACCCTTTTCCTTTATTTTTTGAAAGCTTCACTTCTATTATTTTATTGTCTTTGATGTTAATGATATTTTAATAACAATTTAATAATAATCAAAATATCAATAAGAATGTCAATATTAACCCATTGATGAGGGGTGATTTCCCGATACACAAGCCCTCTCTCCTGGTTTGTATTCATAGTGGCCTGGGCCCCACTACTAGGGGATCATGTCGTCACTCTAGTGTACGCAGCATGACTGTACATGCCCCTGGAAAATGGGACCAGTGCACCATGGCACTTACGCAGGTGCCACCCGGAATATAGTCTAGGCATGCCATGGCATATACATACATGCCACCCGGTGGCAAAGGGTTAATAGTATTGGAAAGAAAAATGCATTTTCCACCAATTCAAGGACTGGGGAAATCTGGTTTGTCACGAGGGCCAACTGATGACTCCTAGCTGCTGAGCACATGTAGAGCGATCTGTATGTAACAAAACTCACTAAAATCTAAAGGGGACAGTAAATAATCCCACTGACATTGGGTTAAATAAAAAACTAACAAAAATCAACAGTATGAATTTTTATGCCACTCTATACTGCTAATTCAGATCTAGTATTTTGCGTATAATGCATTACCATAAGAACATGATACTCAAGTATTTAGTTTTGACAAACTAAATGTCTAATAGCTAATAAATAAATCAAGTTCTTTTACAAAAATAGTATTAAAAAAAAATGAAATTCAATCAATGGCATAAAAGATACCAAGAAAAAAAAAAAAAAAAAAAGTCTCCACCCAATGGCATGGCTGTGTAGGCTCAACCTGCTAGGAGACCTTGCTCTTGAGAGGAGGATAAGATGAAAGTGACAGAGAAGTCTGTAGAAAACCACAGGATCACAAGGTATTAAAATTTTGTGGAGGGGAATAGTGAAAGTTCTAAATGGTTTGTTTATTACCTTCACAAGGCACCACCCCCCCAATCCCTTGCCCGTTGTTGTCGTGGGGGGGCTTAGGAGGCGGAGACTGGGACCCAATGATGGGAACTCCCCAACCTTGGGACTCAGCCCTCAACTCAACTAATTATGCATGGCCTTTTTCCCTTCCCACTTTTGTTTCTATCCCTTCACCAAACCCTTCTGCTATCCACCTCCTAAGGTGTGAGAGCCGTGCTGAAAGGATGAAAGGCTGACTTAGTGCCAGTCCTGAACGGCCTGAGGGAGCCATGGGCACGGTATTCCCCTGATTTTTCTAGCCCTTACCCCTCAAGGGGACCCTGAGGGGTGGACTGTTTTTATTCCCAACATCATCCAGGCTTACCATGGCCAATAATGAAAACCTATCTCCACTATTAGGGGCAATGAGGCTTGCCCCTTTATCAAATAGCCCCAACGAAGTAAACCCACCCAATTCCCAGACCCCAGGCTCTCCTTTGACCACGGCTCCGAACACTGTAATAAATACCCCTTCATCAATGCCTCATAGTACAATAGCCAACAACCAACCCTCAAGGAACATTTCCACTCTCCCAACAAGCTCAACTTCAACACCTCTACCCCCACAACCTCCAACATCAACCACTCCATCCTCCCTTATTACCTTACAGCCTTATTGCCCACCTCTCCGTAACACTACCTCCATCAACACTACTCCATCTTCGTCACGCCCCCGCCCCTCTACCACCCCTACAACAATCTTGAACACTCTCTTTAGTGCAGCCAAATGGGACCGATTTTTCGTGATCCCTCCCACAGCTCCCTACTCTGACAACACCCTTCTCTTCCAACAATGCCTCCAAAAACAAGTAGGTAAAGTCTCTTTCCGTAGCCGACCCGACCGCTCCCGTCTTGTAACAGTAACATCCGAAAACCAAGCCATTGCATTAACAAAACTAACTGACCTATACGGTAACCCCATCCTAGCAGAACCCCATCCAACCCTCAATACTTGCACCGGAACAGTCTCAATCTCACCAGCAAATTGCCCAATCTATGACAAAGATTGGTCAGATTGTGGAGAAGATCTACTTGCCTGTCTCACAGACTACGATGCAACATCAGTACAATGCTACTCCATCCCCCCCAGAGGTCATCGAAAGAAACCCACTAACATAGCCAAAATTACCTTCCGTAGACATGACCTTCCCTTTAACGTCTACATAGGAGGAGAATCCCTCCCTGTTCGTCCATACCAACCTCCTCCACGTCAGTGCCAAAATTGTTGGCGTCTAGGACACCCAGCCAAACACTGCCGTTCCACAGCCAGATGCCCATTATGTGCCCAACCTGGCCATACCCGATCTAACTGCTCTGCACAATCACGCACATGTGCCAACTGTGGCGGCCCCCATAATGTATTTTATAGGGGCTGTCCCACCTACAAATTTGAATCTGAGGTAGCAACTCTCAGATTCAAACTCGGACTCACACTGCGTGAAGCCAGACAGGAAGCACGTCGACGTGGATTCTCTCTTACTCCTTACTCCAGTAATACTGCTCATTCTAACACTTCTCCTAAACCCACCCCTCCTACATCTAACCCCCCCACTAACCCCACCTACCTTCCCCAGTCAAACTCTTTTGCCATCCTAAATCCAGAAACTCCAATCTCTACTACAGATACCCCAATCACCACTACAACCCCAACACCTTCCCCTCTCCCTCCTCGCACTCCCCGTAACAGACAGAACAAACGTTCCACCCCCTCTTCCCCTACCACACAATCACCTCCATCATCCTTTGCCCCTACTCTTGAGACACCAGTCCTTTCTTCTCCCCCTCACAAGAAATCCTTTATCCCCCAAAACTCTCTTGAGACACCAGCATTCTCTTCCCCCCCTCACAAGAAATCCTTTATCCCACAAAACTCCCCAACCAACTCCATTGAAGAAACTCTTGAAAATATCCAAGACTTCTTAATGAAAACTGACCCCCATCAACCTTCAAATCCTACAATTCCTGCTTCCTCCGCACACCAAGTGACTGCCGATATCCATCCTCCTCCTAACGATATCCCCCCTACACCCTATCCTCCTACCCCCTCCCAACACAACCCATCCCCCCCAACTCCAACCCCACCCACATTAACCCTCCCACCATCCCCTCTATCCCTTCCACTCCCTCCTGGATACACACATGAATCCCTTACATCACAAGCATCCCTTTCCACACCCGTCTAACACACCCCTATCTGATGTCGCAATCCGATCCAACCTTATGCTCCTTATGTAATGTTCCTCTTTCAGTCTCACACATTCTATTATCATGCACATGCTTTGAAGCAGCCTGTAGCTCTGCTTCCCCCCCCCCCCCACCCACCTATTCTCCCTTCGACAACCTGTTTTCCTCTCAAACACATAAATATCCCTCACTTAATCTAACCCCTTTACATTACCTCACCCGACCTTAACCCATTCACTCACCAATTCCTTTGCCCAGCTTTGTTAACTAATCACTAACTTAACCACCCTTTACTAACATTTACTATAGTGCTACATGACCTTAGATGTCTAGCACATTTATTTCTGCTTTTAACCATTAACCATTAACCATTCACAAGGCACCATGCATATTTTCACTAAATGGCTATAAACCCCTTATTCACGGATGGCATCTACTATGATACCATGACGGGTGATAACCCTACAGATGTGGCCCATACGTATATACCCGTTTGGCTTTTAAAAATAGTCTCATTTATTTCTGTGGTTCCAAGCTATACTATAGTCTCTTTCGGTCTTTCTCCAGTCTCTCAGTTCTTATAGGATTAGACTTTTCCTAACTCCTTTCTTATTGAAATTGGCTTCTTCTAAGTATTTTCATCAAGGATGGGAGCTCTGGTTGACAACTAGCCAGATGAATTGCACTTTATTCGAAAAATCAGGACATGATCGACTTACCTTAATCAAAGCCATGTTCAGCAAGGAGGTAATAAGCAGTGAAAATATAAGAATGCACTCAAAAAATGGGAACCTCAAGATGCCAAGATCTGTTTATGAATGTCATTTAGTGATACAGATCTCTTTCTCTCTTTCCTTCTCTTTCTCTCTTTCCTTCTCTTTCTCTCTTTCTCTCTTTCTCTCTTTCTCTCTCTCTCATTTTCATTTTGGTTTTGTCTTGAAGGTTCAGAAACATTAGGCATTGTGGAAGGATTGTAAGAACACACATTTTTGTTTATTTTGTTTAAACATTATGAAGATACCATCTCTCATCAGTGCTAGCCATAATGGTTCATGGTTGAAACAAACAAATGTACTAAACTACATGTAAACTACATGGTAAAGTATTGTGGCAAAAATGGTAAAAATGAGTAATAATCAGGACAAAATGTTCTAGATGGCAAAGGATGTAGAGTG